CGAGTAGTAAAATTATGGATACCAATATTGAGGTTAGTTTAAATTTTATTTTCAATGAAAATAATAATTTTGCGATTGCATAAAAATTTATTTTCTTCAGCGATCTCATGTAATGAATTTTCATCTAATTACATCAATTTAAACGCATGTAAAATTCACTGCGAAAGTCTACTCAACTGTAAATTGGTTTTCATTAAGAAAATATTTTTACAACAAACATAGAATAAGTTGATAATAATTTGTACATCGTCCAAATCATATTGGCATTTTTTATTTCTGGAAATAAAATTTTTATTCTATTCTAAAACTATGCTAATTAACAAAATTCTATTCCTAGCATAATAGACCATCAAGTGATTATTGTTATCGTGAACATGGGCCTAATTGTGGTTCGATTCAGTAAACAATCTCTTTTCAATTGAAGATAAAATTATTTTGTTTGAGCGATCTCAGGTAATAATTTTTCATCTAATTAGATCAGTTTAAACGCATGTAAAATTCACTGCGAAGGTTTACTCAACTGTAAATTGGATTTCATTAAGAAAATATTTTTACAACAAACATGGAATAAGTTAATAATAACAATAATTTCAAATTCCTTATAAATTATGATGGCATTTTTTACTTTTGGAAATAAAATTTTTATCCTATTCTCAACTATGCTGATTAAAATAATTCTATTCCTTGCTTGATAGTCATCATGGTTATCACAGTTATTGTAAACATGAACCTAATTGTTGTTCGATTTAGTAAACAATTATTTTTCGATTGGATGGAAAATGATTTTTTTCAGCGATCTCATGTAATGAATTTTCTTCTAATTAGATCAGTTTAAACGCATGTATAATGGTAAAAACAATTCAAAACTGCGAAGGTTTACTCAACTGTAAATTGAATTTTATTAAGAAAATATTTTCTCAACAAAAATAGAATAAGTTAACAATGATTAGACACCTTCTAAATCATATTGGCATTTTTTATTTTTGGAAATAAAATTTTTATACTATTCTCCAACTATGCTAATTAAAAAAATTCTATTCCTAGCATAATAGACGCCAGAGTTATTATTGTTATTGTGAACATGGGCCTAATTATTGTTCGATTTAGTAAACAATTTTAATCAGCATAGTTGGAGAATAGGATAAAAATTTTATTTCCAAAAGTAAAAAATGCCATCATAATTTATAAGGAATTTGAAATTATTATTATTAGTAAATTATTCTATGTTTGTTGTAGAAATATTTTCTAAATGAAAACCAATTTACATTTGAGTAAACCTTCGCAGTGAATTTAAACATGCGTTTAAACTGGTCTAATTAGATGAAAATTCATTACATGAGATCGAGGAAAAAAAATTACTTTTTTTCCAATCGAACAATAATTGTTTACTAAATCGAACAACAATTAGGCCCATGTTCACAATAACCATAATAACTAGGGTGTCTATTATGCTAGGAATAGAATTTTGTTAATTAGCATAGTTTTAGAATAGAATAAAAATTTTATTTCCAGAAATAAAAAATGCCAATATGATTTGGACGATGTACAAATTATTATCAACTTATTCTATGTTTGTTGTAAAAATATTTTCTTAATGAAAACCAATTTACAGTTGAGTAGACTTTCGCAGTGAATTTTACATGCGTTTAAATTGATGTAATTAGATGGAAATTCATTACATGAGATCGCTGAAAAAAATAAATTTTTATGCAATCGCAAAATTATTATTATTTTCATTGAAAATAAAATTTAAACTAACCTCAATATTGGTATCCATAATTTTACTACTCGTTATTTCTTCCAGTCACTGTTAACTAATTAATTAATTGATTAATAATATTAATTAATTAATTAATTAATCAATCAATTGATAATATCAATAATGTTAATTAATTAATTATTCCATCAATTCATAATATTAATTAATTAATTCATAATATTAATTGATTAATTAATCAAATAAGCAATTTACTTATTTATAAAAACATCACGTTCACTATTTCCGCGAAGAAAACTATTTCACTTTATTTTCTGCATTCCCTAAATCTCAACGCCAATGTCTTTTTGTAATAATACACAAACTGTGATACTATAGACATCTCGCGGGCTTCTCAGACCTTCACATTTATCATTTTTACAGATTTCTTATTCACCATCGAGAATAACACTAACTATAGCATATTGGGTCAAACGCCGTTTGGGGAAATATGCCGTTGGCGACTTTTGATAGTTTCCTAAATGGAACAAGTAGAAAGAGAATATCAAAACTTATAATCGAATGCAAAACTTGTTTGTCACATTTCACTAATAATTCATCACGCTTATGTTATAGAGGGCTCTGATGTCAAATTTAATAACAATAATTTTTAAAATTTAATAATAGTAACCAATAATTTTTTTTTTAGATTTATCTCAAATTCACGAATCGGGGATTTTAGAAGGCGCTAATATCGAAGTTAATAATAATAATTTTGAAAAATTCAAAATATCTAAAAATTGTTTATTTAAATTTCTTTATAATTCACCACTCGGGGCTCATAGATGACGTTTCTTTATAGAAACATGTTATATGAGATCCTGATCAATTGTCCGGATGTATGTGTGTGTGTGTGTGGATCCCTTTTTTGTTTAGAAGATAACTTTAACACGTTTCACTGGATTTAGATAAAATTTAGTAGGTTCATTTATCATATTAAAATTGTATTCCTTACGTCAAGATGAATCGATCGGTATATATAAAGTATACATTTGAGGTAAATTTAAAGAATTAATGAAAGTTAAAAAATCAAAAATTCACATTTTGGCAATAAAATTTTGCTTTCTCCACGAGGAAGCAAATTTTTTTGCTGATCGTAAAGAGGAAGCAAAATGTTTATGTAATGAACATCTGAATTTACAACTTGTTTTTAAAGTTTCTAATAATTTTTTAACCTTTTTTCATTATTTAAAGGTTAAAAATAACAAAAATACAAGAGCGTCCGCGATCAGACGCGAATTGGACGCAACGGCGCGGCGTCCGATCCGCGTTCAACCATTCCGCCAGGATCTGGTTCCGGCCTTAAAAACCAAGAGGATCCAGATTGCAATGCCGTTGATAAATTGGATTGTACATCCACAGGAGGATCTTCAAACGGCCTCCAAAAGGTGCTAGATTGAAGTTGGCAACCTGGCCCAGGTTGCTCAACAACAATAAGATCCACCTGCTCATCCATGGCACAATCAAGTTGCGACTCCCATGACGGGCCAGGTTGCGGCTCCCATGTCGGACCAGGTCGCGATGAAATGGCTTCCTCAGCCCCCTCTTTGAGCCAAACCATAGTTCTTGGCCAAATTTTAGGCCTCTCTTCATAATCTATAACAAACAAAAAAATAAAATAAATAAATAAAAAAAGGGAAGACACAAATAAAATACAATAGGACAAACTTACTGCCTCTCAGGATAGCCTGTGCCTCTTCTGAAGAAGGCACAGGGATTTGACATTCGCCACAAAAGCAGCCGATAGGGCGACTATAACAAGAACAAAAAAGAAATATATATATATATATATAAACAATAATATTTTATATACAATAGATGAAAAGAACATGTAACAACGACAACAAACATATATATACTTACAACAAGGAATTAAACATCGACGTCATCGTCCCTGAATTTTCTTTTAATTCTCGTTTCAGCCCTTTCAAATGTTTCACTCTTTCCTTCTTCAAGGTGTTATCCATTATCACACCTCTCCTCGGACGACCTGGTCTCGACATTTCCTCCAATACATCAATTTCCTCAGAGGAATAATATATTGACGCTGACATTTTTTTCATGTGGCACTGAGAACAGAGAAAAGAAAATAATCCATAATTAACAGTTTTTATCACTTATAGCACTATTTAACATTACTTCCGAAACCACTTACTGGTGATAATTAGCGACTGATCCTCGTTGACAAATGCGAGCAAACTGATAAGATCTTCAGACCTCCTGCATCATAAAGGGATGAAAAATGCTGACCTAAACAATAGGTCAGCAAAAAAACAATAATTTTTTTCCGCCACATCTGACTTCAAATTCGGAATAAGCAAACTTGAAAACGCCTGTATAACAGGTTTCGTAGATATTTGTCTCGCCTTTTAATAGTGAAACAGAAAAATTTAATTTCAGACATTTTTACGGCTATTTTATAGGCGCTATTTTGTATTTTGAGAAAATAAACATTCCTTATAATCACGAAATGAATGAAAAAGCAGACATTTTGGACGCTATATTTTGTCTTTTTTTTGTTTAAACAATCAAAACTTTTTATCCTTAAGTCAAAAGTTAAATTTTCTTGTAAATTCTGAAAGAGAACTGAAAAGTAGATAAGAAACATCTATTGACCATTTTTTTAGTCCATTAATTTTGAAAATATGGAGGAAAAAAGGAATTCTCGGACGAAATGGGTTCAGATCGTTATTTTCTCAAGCTCGAGCTGCAGATTAGTTCATTTTATAAAAATTGTCGAGTAGTCTAGCTCTACGAAATATATCTTTGTATCAGATTTTAAAAAAATGGAATAATATAATTTTTATAAAAATTAGCTTTAAAAATGAAATAAAAACATATTTTTACGTTCTGTCGTAACATTAAAATTCTGTTAAATAAAATTTTTTCTATAGAATATCCAGTTAAATTAAATTTCGATGAAATATAAGTTCTGTTTGATAATTTAATTAAATAAAAAAAATTTAATTCGATTGAATGAAAGAATTTGATTGAAAAATTAGTGAATAAAAAAATCAGTTATGCAAACAATAAATTTACGTGTAGAAGTGGAGAAGTTTAATAAAAATATATTTGTATGATTTAGTCGATAAAGATTAAAAAATATAATAGATGTTTCCGAACAGATTTAAATTACTAAGATTCATGCTGATTTAAATACTAATTAATGACAATAAAGCATCAAATAATTAAACAGTAGAAAATTAAATGACATTTGATGAATTTGACACGAATTCTAAACAGTTTCAGTTGATTGACAGAAATAATAATGTTAGTAGCAATTTCTAAAAATCGATTTCGGGAATGGAATAAAGATTATGTAATTTTTCCAGAGGTAATTGAGGGGAAAATAAATACTGAAAAATTTCTTGACGCTTCACAACAACTTGTACAATTAATTGGTGAGTTTATCAAATGTTTGCAAAATTTAACCCTCAAATTTGGTTATTTTGTTATTATACTTATTATAATTTTCTAAATTACTAAGTGCTTTTGCACTAAAGGTCATTTTTTTATTCACTTTTCTTGTAAGCCCGTACATTGTGATTAAATAAATAAATAAATTTAAAAACCTTGAAAGAAAAATATGAAAGCTTATGTTCACTTACAAATGAAAAAAGTTTTTATAATTTTCTCCGTTGTAAACGGTTAATTATAATTATTTTTAATATTATTAATATTTAATTTTTTATTTTAGATAAATTCGGAAAATTATTTGCACCCATGAAATATGACATGCAACAAAACATTAACGTAAGTAGTTAATAAAACAAGGAAAATCTGAAGATTAATTTAATAAGTTAATCACATTACAAAATTCCGTTTACTAAATTTAATATATAATTTCAGAAATTAAACGTAAAGTATAATATCGACAGAGATAATCATTCCACTTTACAAGATATGATTTTAATTGAAAAGACTTCCGAAAATAATAAAATCGCTACTGAAGCTTTATTATGGTTAAGAAGGTGAATTATTTTATTGTATCTGAAACTTTATTTACATCTCTGCAAATAAATTTGTTTTTACAAAAAATAAAATATGAAATGAAGATGTAATATGGTAAATAATAATAAACGAGTAATTTAATATAATAAATAAATTTATTTCAGAGGATTGTATATGATACAATTATTTTTTGAAAAAATTGTGCAAGACTATAAATCTGGCCAAATTACTGAAGATTTAGTAGCTTGCTTAAAAAAATCATATAAAGAAGCTTTAGAACCATACCATGGATGGATGGCACAACAATTGTTTGGTGTAAGTATTTCTAAAGAAATAAATTGTTAACCAGATGTAATTTAATTTTGCATTCGTTTAATATCCGACTTTTTTCTAATTTACAAAAAGCTGAATAAAGTTTTATCATTTTAAGATTTTAAGAAAAACATAAACTTAAAAAGAAATATAAGGAAAATTTGTTGATTTCACATATTATAGTAAATTTAACATTCCGAAAATTATAAATAAAGTTAGGTTAAGAATTTATCGAACTCTGCACTGAAAGACCTTTTGGATGAAGGCAGAAATAAACAAAATTTTCATTAAAATTAGATCATTTAAATTTAACGCTTTTTCTCTTTTTGAATGAAATGAAAATTTAAAATAAAATGAAATTTAATAATCGTTTAACATCCTAAAAAAATCAGCAAATAAAATTACTAAAAATTTCAATTAAAAATCAGTTGAAATTCAATTATGTTTATAAATTTGTGTCTGTAATTTCTAATAAATCCTTCAGAAACAGAATTGACAATAAATTACAATAAAAAATCACTTGAAGTTTAATTACTTTCAAAAATTTGAATTGTAAATTCAATTGAGTAAAACTTAATTATTATCTGAAATCTAACAAAATATTTTGAAATTCAATTGTTTTAAAAATTTCAACTATAACTCTTACGAAATTTAATTATTTTTAATCATTTCAATATTTTTTTAAAAATTCAATTGAGCACCTGGAAATAAGAACTCGCCAAGCGCTCGGCTGCACGCTACAAAGCCAGTCAAACATACAAAAATGATGAAAAAATAAAATTCGAAATTTTTGATTTTTGAAAAATGCTATCTTGTAGGAAATGAAAAGGCGTATCTTTTTTTCCTCTGGATTTTTCTCGTCAAATGAATAGTTTAATTAATAAATGTAAAAAACAAATAAATTTTTATTTCCAAATTTCATTCAATTTTTAAACATAAATCATCGTATCTTCGACAAATATTAATCAATTCCAATGAGATTTTGCATACTTCCGAGTTTGGGTCCATAGATGACGATATTCTAAAAAAATGTTGAATTTTTTTCAATTGTTGACAAATTTTTAATTATAAACAAATACCTGTCGGTAATCATACTCAGTTATCTTCGCCGACAAAAAGTCTGTGGGGAAGTTCATAGTTGAAAGAACTTCCAGTGAGACATTTGTGTATTAGGATATAATGAAGTTTTCTGTAAAGTTTCAAGTACATTAATTCAATAGTTTAAAAAATATTGAATTTTTAAGATTGCGCGTGTGGCGCGCCAACGAGTAGGCAAGTGAATAGAATCGCTGAGCAGTTCATTACATGAAAAATGACCACTTTCTCACATCTTTTTTCTCTTAATTTCATTATTATTATATATAAATTGTTTTAAATTAAGTTAAACAATTGAATTTATTGCTACTGGGTTAAATTTATTTTATGTTAATGTGTTAAAAACATACGAATAAAATAATATTTTCAAAATTATATGAAAATTTTTGCAAAAATTATTAAGATATTATTTAAATAATGTGTTATGTGTAAAATTTTGCAATTAGCTAATTCTTTAAATACTTTTTTTAAGTACATTTTCTAATTTTCATTTTATCAGTTGAATTCAGAATTTATATTGTCTATTTAAAATTTTCTATTTACAAGTTATTGTTGATAGTTTGTAATTGTTTGAAAAATGTAAAAAAAAATTTGTTAAAAAAATTACATCTAATGTCTTATTAACTATATTGTTAAAAATTTTGACTACTTATAGCTATTAATATTTTGTATTAATTATATGTACATTTTGAATACTTATAAGACATTCTAATTTTTATTATTGAGTTGTATTTTTAAATATAAACAAATAAATATATATATATACACATGATAAATATTAAAAAAAAAAATTATTTATAAAGCCAATTTAAAACAATTTATATATAATAATAATGAAATTAAGAGAAAAAAGATGTGAGAAAGTGGTCATTTTTCATGTAATGAACTGCTCAGCGATTCTATTCACTTGCCTACTCGTTGGCGCGCCACACGCGCAATCTTAAAAATTCAATATTTTTTAAACTATTGAATTAATCTATTTGAAACTTTACAGAAAACTTCATTATATCCTAATACACAAATGTCTCACTGGAAGTTCTTTCAACTATGAACTTCCCCACAGACTTTTTGTCGGCGAAGATAACTGAGTATGATTACCGACAGGTATTTGTTTATAATTAAAAATTTGTCAACAATTGAAAAAAATTCAACATTTTTTTTAGACTATCGTCATCTATGGACCCAAAGTCGGAAGTATGCAAACTCTCATTGGATTTGATTAATATTTGTCGAGGATACGATGATTTATGTTTAAAAATTGAATGAAATTTGGAAATAAAAATTTATTTGTTTTTTACATTTATTAATTAAACTATTCATTTGACGAGAAAAATCCAGAAGAAAAAAAGATGCGCCTTTTCATTTTCTACAAGATAGCATTTTTCAAAAATCAAAAATTTCGAATTTTATTTTTTCATAATTTTTGGATGTTTTGACTGGCTTTCTAGCGTGCAGCCGAGCGCTTGGCAAGTTCTTATTTCCAGGTGCTGAATTATTTTAAAAAATTTTTGAATAAAAAATAAAACAAAAAATTAATTATAAAAATTGTTTAATTAAATTGCCATAAATTAAAATCTTGATAATATTCTTACAGAAATATTCTTATTAAAGAATAATTAATAATACGAATTTAATATCTTAACATTAGTTATTTGAAGTAAAATATTGATTAACTAAGTAAATTTAATTAAAATAAAAAAATCGAATTTTTTAACTTTTTTTGTAATGTGAATCGACTAAAACGACTTTTTTTGCGCCTTTAAGTCGATCCGATGCCTGTCTATAGAGATAATTCCTTCGGAAATAATTCATTTGTATACATTTTATTCTTTTAAATTCTTTACAAAAATTTATTATTAAAAAAACTTAATATTTATTATTTATTTATAAATATTTAATTTTCATTAAAGTAAAAAGTTTTGAAATTAATTTAATTGTGTTTCATTTCACAAAATTTTGGAATTGTCTGTAGCCTCATGTCGAAATTATATATAATTATATTGTATTCGAATAGAAAAACCATTTTCTGCAATTTCAAATAAAATATTTTAAATTTCTTGAATGAAAAAGAATATTGAATTATGTTAAGTTGACAGCACTATACCATTTGTAGAAAACACTTTTTTCATAAACTAGTTATTTTAAGCTGAATATAAAATTGTTATGAAAGTAAAAAATTAATTATGATTTAGAATTATTTTAAAGAAAAATGATTATTTTATTTTATAAACTATTATTCTTGAATTAATTCTTACTGAAAATAATTGTTTTAGCTTCTTGCACGAATGGTTCCAACAAGAACTCAATTATTGCAAGTTCTTACAAACGGAAATGAAGAAAAAGAAAATGAAGTTTTACAAAATATAGATGAACTTTGCAAAGGATTAAAAATTAATATATTATATTTACAAATATTCTATGATTTACATCATTTAAATAATCATGAACGTGTGTAACTTAGAATTTAGAATTATTTGAATAATTTTATAAAAACAAAGATTTCATTTATTTTTAAACCCTTTTTAACATCACCTCTCGCTATTTTTGTCTTTTTTACAAACAATGTTTGATGGATAATTTTTGAAAATAAACAGCATTTAGGTAGAATAAAATTCATAAAATGAATAATATATTCAAGTTAATGTTATAAGCAATTAATTAAATAACCTAAAATAGAAATTATAAAAGTGTACATAAACGTAGAAATATAATATTTATGTAATACTGTTTGTGAAAAAATTTTCAGTCCAACTTATCATCTACTTTATATAATTGCGCTATATAAAATCTTTTGGCATGAGAGTCAGCTAAATTTCTTAAAGCCAGTGTTCCTGTTGTAATTTCTGCAAGTAGAAAAATTATTGCTATAATGTTAGCAATTTTTTCATTTAACTCAGGAATGTTTCTTGGATCAAGAATGAGGAACATCTCTAGAGGAAGTTGCAGAAGCGTTGATATTAACCAAAAAGTTGCTAGCTCGGGAATCTAAATGAACAAGATTAAATATTTATTTAAGAAATTTTTAACAAAAATTTATTTACAAGTTGCACTAGAGTGTAAGGCCACGTACTTTTATGGCTAAATTTCCAAGATATCCCAAATATAGTCTTACACCTTCTAAAATAATTACAGCAATGAAAACTGCTACACTTATGACTTGATAGACATCATTTAATTTACAGTACTGGAAAAATAGTTTTTGTTAATTTCTTCCAAATATTAAAGTTTCATGAAAATCAAAAAATTAACTTTTTTGTATATCTGTCAGAATATTACCTTTGCATCCACGTTGCACAGAAGAATCCAAATCCAAACTGGATAAAACCAAACATTAAAGTATAAAACTATTTGCAATAATAAATTGGACCTCACTTCGATACCTACAAAAAAATCATAATTTAATAGTTACAAATATTTATTTTTTACAACATTTTTCAATTTAAATTTTTTAAAAATTTTTAGAAAAACTATAAACTAAATAATATTTGGATATATAAAAGTTATTTTTACTGTTTAGTGTTATTAACTAATAAAATATAAATCAAATTTAATGCAAATTAACAAAGGAACTATATTATTAAGGAATGATTTTAAACATTTCTGCCAAACCGTCTCTATTATTAGAAGATTAAGGTGTTTAATAGAAGAGAAAGGATGTTTATTAGACAGTGCAAAAGAATTTTTATTTCTAGGATCACATATGGTGATTATTAATATTACCCTAGGTTTTTGAGAAATTTGACCTTGAAAATTGAAAAAATGCAGTTTTTAGAGTACCTTTTGATTTTTTATAACGGTACAAGAATTTTTTTGAAGTTTTCGTGATATGTAGTTGAAAACTCATATCATTCTGAACAATTTGCAATTTAGAACTTTTAAAAATATTTATTTTTGTATGAGATATCTTTGTTTGAATTTTTCGTTTAAAAAAATTGATAGGTTTTGTTGAAACTTGTCTCGCGGGTGTTTCCAGGTTCAGTGTTACATGTCTACAAGGTTTTCAGTATTTTTTTCTCCTTAACCTGATGTACAAGAGATTTTTATATAGGCTTAAATAGTACACTTTAAGACCCATATACGCAAGATAAAAAAAAAATTTTAATTTGGAAAAAATGGGGTTAAAGGCAACAAAAGGATTTTGGGGTATTAACCCACATTTGTTTCCAAATTTGAAATTTTTTTTGTCTTGCGTATAAGGGTCTTAAAGTGTACTATTCCAGATTTAATTTAAGCCTTTATATAAATCTCTAGTTCTTCAGGTTAAAAAGAAAAAAAATACTGTAAACCCGGGATCGTGTATAGCACATCGTTGTTGCTCTCGTTATTGAGAAGAAGCTCATTACACTAGAGTAGTAAAAACATGTATGAAAAGTAAGGTTATGTTGCCATTGAACGAAACGTAAACATTTCTGGTTATCACACTGAATGGTTTTTAATTACCTACTTTGGAGTAAAAAATCATAAAAAACATTTTTGAAGGATGAAAAACCTCACTTTTCACACAACATATTTTTTACTACGCTAGTGTAATGAGCTTCTGTTCAATAACGAGAGCGACAACATCCAAACGTCGCCGCGCGCAACGATTGCAGACGTTTCACAATAAATAAAATACAAAAAAGAAAACAAACATTGTTTAATAAATTGTAATTTAACTATTTCGAATCACATCATTTTTCTTGTGCGGTATTAAAGCTTGAAAAATGAGGAAAGTTTTTATTTTTAAACCAATTTATTTGGTGGTTCAGAAAAAAAGTAAATTTTTTTCATTATTTATTGTTGTATTTTTTAAATAAACAATTGTTTTTACTTAAAAAGTGATTCTTTTAAACCTTTATATTAATAAATATTAAAAAAAAAGTTTCATTTAATTTGGAAAGGTTTCTCTGAAAAGTGATAAAAATACTCATGAAATGGCACATAGGAATTATTTAAAAAATTATTACTTACAATATACTCAATGATAAGACTTTGTACCATTACGTGAATTTTCTTAAAACTTAATACTATTTGAAATTCGTGACAAAAATAACTTATACATGTTACCGCCAGAGGACAGTGATCAAAATCTTCTCACAAGCGAGTTGGGTTTTGAACATTATAAGTAGACAAAATAAGTTACATAAACGTTCTTTATTCTGATATCTTTTGAACAAATATTGATATTTTATATCCAAAGAATTTACAGAGCTCCTTGTTTAGCAAAAGCAGGTTAGTATTGGTATTTTTATTCTTTTATTTCGAGTTTTTTTTAATTTTAGAAGAAGCTGGTATTTTTATTGAGCAGACAAGCCTTTTAGAATTTTTTTTTTGGTAAGCTAAATAAGGAGCTCTGTAAATTTTTTGGATATAAAATATCAATATTAGTTCAAAAGATTTCAGAATAAAGAACGTTTATGTAACTTACACTACCGTCGGAAATTGTCGGTACGGCTAACGTGCGAGGAATAGAAATTTGGTGCTGACTTTAAAGCAAGATATTTTAATTTAGAAAAAAGATAGAGACTTCTAACTTAGATGGTTGGAAAAAGATTTAAAAAAGAAAAGATTTTAAGTAAAAATTATGCAATTTTCTACTATCGTGTTCTTTGACTCCCGGCATAATCTAGAATAATGCATGGAAAAATTTGACAATTTTACAACATAATCTTTAGGGTCTTAGCTTTAATTTGCATTTTTGAAACTTAAAAAACGTTTTGTGGTTCCTGAAATATGTTAAAAAAGGTCCGAGCATGTTTTCCTACAACTCAGCCGTCAATCATCACTTTTCGCCGCCTCGCTGCTGGGTTGTAGAAAAACATTCTTGGACATTTTTTAACATATTTCAGGAACCACAAAACATTTTTTAAGTTTCAAAAATGCAAATTAAAGCTAAGACCCTAAAGATTATGTTGTAAAATTGTCAAATTTTTCCATGCATTATTCTAGAGTATGCCGGGAGTCAAAAAACATTAGTACGATAGTAGAAAATTGCACGTTATCCGTATCGACAATTTCCGACGGTAGTGTATATTGTCTACTTAAAATGTTCAAAAGCCAACTCGCTTGTGAGAAGATTTTGATCACTGCCCTCTGGCGGTAACATGTATAACTTATTTTTGCCACGAATTTCAAGTAGTGTTAAGTTTCAAGAAAATTCACAAAGTTGTAAAAAGTCTTATTATTGAGCATATTATAAGTAATAATTTTTAAATAATACCTAGGGGAGTGTCGTCAGGGTTGGACATTGTTTTGCCTTTTCTCTATAACTTACCCTATAGGCCGAATTTCGAGATTTCTCGCATATGGTTCAAAAGATCTACTAAAATGCAATGTTTTTGCTTAACATTATAAAAATATTTGAAGAAAAGTTTCGGAGTTATAGTCAATTAAAAAAAATGTAGTCAGAATTGTGCCTGGTAGTCAGGGTTCTACTGTAGAAAATCAATGAAATATACAGATAAATGATTACACTTGGAAATGAGTAAAGGAACCACCAAATTAAAATAAAAAGCCCTTATTCTGTAATTTTCAGATTTTCGCTTGAATCGCAAAGCTGTCCTCAAAAAAGATTTTAAAAAATTTGTATTTCTTTTCAATGGAAATAAAGTTTTTGACACCTCTTTAAGACGGCAAATGAATTTCCATTGCAAGAACCCTTCATAATTGCAAAATTGTTGGGTGGCTCAACCCTGATTTGCGCGTCGTTTAGCGTCATATCACACACAAAATAAACGCGTGATCCAAACACCAAATTACGTTCCACGTTTTTATATAACATCTTAATAAACAATTTGAACTTTGTCTTTGACATATTTTTTCTGCACTTAATTGTTTTTTTTTGAAACAACAAAAAAGTTTTTTGTTGAGCGTATATAATACGCATAATAGTGCGTCTCCAATGGCCCTATTGAAAATCCTCACATGGGATCCAATATATGATTCCATATAGGTTCCTTTATAAAAACCGTTAAGAAATCCTAGGTCGACATAGGAATCCACATAGAATTCCATGTAAAATCATATATGAAATTCGGACACGATTTGGTGTATGATTTCATGTAGGAATTTATGATGTTGTTTCTACATTGAAATCTATGTGAATTCCTACATTATTTCCTATAATTTTTCTGGCATATTTTTTTTGTCAATTTCCTTCATAATCAACTCACATCAAATCTTTTAAAAAATATCATATAAAATTCTAAAGATTTCCTTATATGAAATCTTACATACAAGTTTTAATTTAGGAAACCATATGCGATTTCATGTGCATTCTTACATATGATTTCACATGGATTTAAACATACGAAATCACATGGAATTTCATGTTGGCTGCTTTATGCAGAAGGCAGTTAACAAAAATTAAAAATTATTTAATTAAAAGTTAAATAATATTACTGCAATTTATCTGAAAAAAAATTGGTGCTTTGCAATACACCTTCTGAGTTAAATTCTCAGCTTATATAGTATTCAATAATGTTCTCAACTGTGAGAAAAAAAATTATCACCAACTGGCGGCGTAAGAGTGGAATTATGATTTACATTTCCTATGTAGGAATCCATGTGAGAACACATATAGGATCTTATGTAAGATACTACATTTTACATAGATTCCTACATACATGATGGAATCCATGTAGAATCTTAAGTAATATCTTACATAAGATCCTGCATATGTTCTCACATGGATTCCTACATAGGAAATGTAAATGTAAATCATAATTCCACTCTTACGCCGCCAGATGGTGAAAATTTTTTTTTCTCACAGTTGAGATCATTATTGAATACTATATAAGCTGAGACTTTAACTCGGAAGGTGTATTGCAAAGCACAATTTTTTTTCTTTTCAGATGAGTTGCAGTAATATTATTTAATTTTTGTTAACTGCCTTCTGCATAAAGCAGCCAACATGAAATCCCATGTGATTTCCTATGTTCAAATCCATGTGAAATCATATGTAAGAATGCACATGAAATCGCATATGGTTTCCTAAATTAAAACTTGTATGTAAGATTTCATATAAGGAAATCTTTAGAAATTTATATGATATTTTTTATAAGATTTGATGTGAGTTGATTATGAAGGAAATTGACAAAAAAAATATGCCAGAAAAATTATAGGAAATAATGTAGGAATTCACATAGATTTCAATGTAGAAACAACATCATAAATTCCTACATGAAATCATACACCAAATCGTGTCCGAATTTCATATATGATTTTACATGGAATTCTATGTGGATTCCTATGTTGACCTAGGATTTCTTAACGGTTTTTATAAAGGAACCTATATGGAATCATACATAGGATCCCATGTGGGGATTTTCAATAGGGGGGACCCTAGGAACAAGCGTTGCGTACATGTTACGTTGTGTGGTTCCCATGTAGTTTAGCATTGATAACGTCATACGTCTACGTTTACGAATTCTCTTAGGTTCCTATTGGATACGCTCCATAATACGTCTTTATTGTCCGTATACTTCACTGCAACACATGTGAAAAGTTCCCTGACATTGCTAACAAGTATTTACATACATAGACAGATGGCGCTAATGTGATAAAACAAAATAAATGCAATGACTCAACCCTGACCACTGTCCAACCCTAACTACTCTACTTTATATTTACAAAAATTTATTTATTGCTCACATAATTTAATATATGAAAATTGTTGCATCTATCAATAATAACTACCCTTATTCAATTCAGATAAACTTTGATTTTAAAATAAATTACCTTTTTCCATTTGTTTTCAATAATATAAATAATTGCGCAAAATTCAAGTAAATAATTTTCTTGATTAATTTTTTAAGTATTTGATATTAACTACTTTAAAAAATAGAATTCCATTAAGAATATAAACTTTACGCCATTTAGAACTCTAACCATTGTCGTTCCATTACCGGCGTGTCGCGTTGCTGTATAAGGGGTTAAAAAATTGACTTTGGCCAAAGTTTTTTTTGATCGTCATTTACTAATGCTTTAGACTACGTAGCGGATTTTTTTGGTTTGTTTGTATATTTTTGGCAATAGGGTAACTGTGGGTATTACTGTGTTTTTTTGTATATGCTAACTTTGCAAAGCTCAATTTAACCTCAAAAATACATCAAATGTTGTTATTCCAATTGTAGATAAAAGTTTAATTATTAAATTTTACTTAATCATTAATCTCGAGATTAGTTTGGCACTTTTTTTATTTAAAACATCCATTTAAAAAATAATGGCAAATGCGTGTGTTACTGTTAAAATGTCGGTATTTCTGTGCGGTAATTACTAACAAAACAGCAATTACTGTGCCGGCAGTTATAATTTAATGTTAATTTTTAATATTTACTTCCAAAATCTAATAATTGAATTTAACAGATTATTTATATTAAGGTTAAATTTACGGCAAATTTTAATGTATATACTCATTATAATCTGAAACATAATACCTTTACTAATTAAAAAAATTAAAGTTTTAATATATATATATATATATATATATATACTATTTTTTTATATATGAATTGGTATGTTTCTATGTTTTTTATGTTAAAAAGTATAAATAACTTTATTTTTAATGTAATTTATTAAATTATATATCTATTATCATTTGTGCTATTCACCACTTGCGACGCCTATGCAAAACAGCTTGTGTGGCGCTGCGAGCGTTTTGTGAGACGAATTGAGACGTCTCATACTTCAGCTACATCTCATCTTATGGATATTAAAAAACGAGAAGTTGCGAATATTGCTTAAAGAAATGAAGAAATCGCTTCCGATTCTGATAGCACAGAGCTTATATGTATCTTCTAGAGAAAATAATAATTTCGACGATATTTCATGAATTTCCGTGGATTTATAAAGTGGCCATAGATTATTTTCCAATTTTGGCGACATCAGTTCCTGCGGAGCGTCTGTTTTCCAGTGCTGGTATACGTATTACCAAACAAAGAAACCGCCTTTCAGGCCCGCATGTTGAACAACTGTTAGTATTGAATTCAATACCAGTGCGTCATTGGTTTGACAATTAAGAGGTGTTAAAAAAAGTGGAGTGACTATAATAGTCATAAAAAACATTGCCAAAGATTTTACGTATTAAAATTCTTATGCATATTTCGCTAATATTGATATTAAGCGATTTTTATTGTGATTAAGGAATATTTTATTGTGATTAAACGATATTTTATTGTGATTAAGCAATATTTAATTGCTAAGCAATTTCAAATTTCAGTAAAATACTTGTTAATTTTTCTTGTTCTTTTCAATTTAGAAAAAATCTAATAAAATCGGAAAAAATCGATATCTATTTGATTTTAAACGACTTAAAAGAAATCCAAAGTAAAATACAAATCCTGAACACATTTTAACATAAGTTAAATAAAGCTTACCAATATCAAAGAACTCCTTCTTACGATCATGATAAACCAAACCAGGAAAAAAACGATCAGAAGCACTAATGATAGAATTCCTCAACATACTTTAGTCGTTGCTACTATATGTCCATCTAGATAATAAAAAGAATTCAATCATAATGCAGAGTTTACAAGTTTACATAGAAAGTTTATAGCACACTTGTGGCAAATAGAAAATGCAGTTTTGTGTCTGGTTTACAATACAATTATTTGCAATAAGTTTGCAGCAGGTTGTCAAGACAAAGAATTTTACTGACCATTTAAGAAAAATAACACAGGCCTGCGAAATTTGAACTTTTTTCAGTTACTTTTTTAGTTACCTGTGGTACTAATTCTCGTAGGTTTTTGCACGCTGAACACGAATCTTATGTCCAAAATGGTCCATCAAATTAGGATTTTGAGTAATTCAAGTACAAATGTCAAAAAAAAAAAATCTATAAAATCAAGCATTTAAAGAGTACCAAATTAATTATTACAAGAACAGTTTTTAGGTAAATTTAGATCATAAATAGGAATGTTATAAATATTGTCAATTAAAAACTGTGAAAAGAACAGACAAATTCAATAAGAACAGACTTTAAAAAATTTCAAATCAATTTCTATAAATATAGTGCCTTTTTAGGAATATTCAGTTCAATTTTAGGAATTTAATACTTTAAAACAATTGACAATTATTGTCAAAAAATTGGACAAGTGTGAGTTACACTCGCACTGAAATCGGGGGTTCCGTACACGAAGCAAACTTATTTGGTATAAAAACAAGTGTTTAAAAAGATGAATTGTATGTCAAATAATATAAGTGATACAAAAAGGAACAATTTTATATAAAAATTTAAGAAAATTGTTCCTCTTCGTTTCACTTATATTATTTGACATACAACCCATCTTTTTAAACATTTGTTTTTATACCAAATAAGCTAGCTTCGTGTACGGAACCCTCGATTTCAGTGCGAGTGTAATTCACAGTTGTCTGATTTTTTTAATTAGACTTATAACGACGGAAGAAATAAACTTCAGGAAGAAGTCCACTTTTCCACTTTTTATCATGTTTATTAAATTATTTCTATAATCTACACATAAAAATAAGTGAAATAAATTTTTGGTGGAAAAATACATTTTTCCCTAAAATTATCATTTTTCTTTAAAAATTTGATAAAATTTGATCATCTACTCCAATCGTGCTTACATTTTTTCCCTTTAATTTTCACGCAAAAATACATTTATACAGCAAATATGAACAGTCTGGGTTGAATATTGTTGAATATTTGAGCTCTTTATGTCCAAAGGTGTGGCTGCTAGGGGTCATTTTTCGTAAAAATTCGTGGTTTTTCCTTGACAACGCTATGATAATCAATTCCAATCAGGTTCGCTATATTTTTCCTGTAATCTGCACGCGAAAATACATATGTGTACCAAGTTTCAGCCCTCCATATAAATTCGCGTGGCCGCTAAGGAGGGGGGTACACGATTTAAAAAAACGAATATTAATAGGGTTCCGAACCGAGTACGGAACCATAAAAAGATATCAACTTCCATCAAATGATAATATTTATAAAATTTTTAAATTAATTTACCCAGTATAACAATTTTTTTATCAAAATAAAGTGGAAAGTAAAGTTTGGACTTAAAAAAAAACAACATTTTTGTCTCTTTTTTCTATTGTATTTATATATTGTATTCTATTGTTTGTATATAACTAAAGTATAAAAATGAAATTTTTTTTTTGAAAAAATTCAAAATTTTGAAAATACTGCAGTTTTTTCATTTTTTGATGAAAATGGCTCGCTAACGAACTTTACCTGTATTTTGACACTAACTTTGTGTATGCAAAATTGCAAGTTGATTCGATTCACAATTAAATTATTGTGTCTACATACTATTTGATGGAAATAGAAAAAGTCAATTTTCAATATGCATTATTCCTCCGTCAATCGCGTGGTGAGAGAATCCCTCACTGAGTTGCATTTTTCATTTATTTCTCTTAAATCACATAAAATTACCATTCCATAATTTCAGTACCTGTCACGGCACTCTTCTTTTATATATTAAAACAGTTTTCACATTCTTATTCAGTATTATTTTTATTTTATTGAATTTAAAGTCAACAAATGTCTCGATTTGATGAAAGGTTCTCTCACCGTGCGACCAACCGCGTACAGTCGATTTTACTTGTTTGTAAATGTATTAGTGAGGCGGCGAAGCCAACTTGACATACATGTGGGAATCTACCCTAGAGGATGGGTTCAACGCGTTTTGAACGGAATAACGTTGAAACACCGTTAGGAACACAACGGTCACTAAAAATGTTATTTAAACAATAAAATATGATAAAGTATTTGTTGGTATATATAGAAAAAGTGTTCGTGAGTTATTTAAGACCTTATTTGTATCAATTTAATACGAAATAAGTAAAATAACAGATCAAATATGGAGCACTGTTATATTAGGGTATTCTGTCAAATTTTTATATAATTCAATGAAAAATGTTTTAGATACGATTTTTTAATAATAGAAAACAGTGAAAAAGTATTAATTTATTATTTTAAAGCATTTGAAAGGGTAATAAATAGTAAAAATTAATGTTTTTATTGTGTACTTTTTGTGTGTATTAGACAACGTTTATGGACATCAAGTTACAAGTTACACCGGTGAACGCTAGATGGCAGCACAGTAAACAATTATGTGGGAAATTTGATTTTTATTTTATATAATCACTAAAGGAATTTCCACACATGCGTGTTCTTTTAGAATCACTTAAAGAAATCATACGGAATTCAACTTTGGTTATTTATTATTATTAACATCCTGCCGATGTAAAGGGTCGACAGATGAATACATATAACATAAAAACTGCTTAAAAGGTCGACGTCTCGATCCTAACTAACTCATCTTACTTTCTGCCCTATCCGTTAACGCATACCTTCATATCACCCTACTCTACTCGAGGTGGAGGGTACGAAGGGAAGCCTCGCGATAGCAATTCCCCACAATTATATGGGATTTTGGCGTTAATATTTGAATATATTTATTTAATAAAATGTCTCAGAAGGATTGCCATATCCTTACGCGTGTTCCCAATTTGTTAAAATAAGACTGGACTATTATAATGTTAAAAAATCAATTTATTGAAATAAAATGTATATAAAGAATGTAAGTTGTCACTCAAAGCGTCGTCCCGTACGCAACTGTACAATTAATAGTAATTACATATAATATCTCATACTCCTTCTCTCTTTACGCATGAGACAGAAGAATCATCGTACGCCGGATGTTCTATCCTTTTTCTCCGCTAGAGAGAAACTTGCGATCTCGCATCTCATTATTGTGCGAGAGAGAACATTACAGGGATTACCTTTACCACACTACGATTCCCACAATTAATAAGAATTTGACACGAAAAATATTTAACCCACTGAAAGTCGATGATGCATCTAGATACAAATAAAAAAAATGCTAAAGACTTATTGAATATTCATAAAAATTGTTACTAGGGGGTTTTCGGGGTCGCTAATTACAAATTTGATATCAGATTTCCAAAAAACAAAATGTCGAATAAAAAAAATTGAACATTAATCGAATTCTCTGAAAGCTCGTTCCTCGGAGTGTTTTTTCGGTCACTAATTACGAATCTGATATTAGATTCTTAAAATTCAAAATTGCGGATCCAAAAAATTAAACACCAATTAAATTCTCTGAAAGATTGTTCCTCTGGGTTTTGGGGTTATCTGATTACGAATCTGATATAAGATTTTCAAAATTTCGGATCAAGAACATTAAACATTATTCAAATTCTCTGAAACCTCGTTACTCGGGTAGTTTTTTCGGTCACTGATTACGAATCCTCGGGGTCTTGGGATTCGCTGATTACGAATATAATAACAGATTTTGAAAATTCAAAATGGTGGATCGAATATAACGGATGAAAACATTTAAACATTAATCGAATTCTCTCAAAGCTCGTTACTTGGGGGTTTTTGGGGTCGCTGATTACGAATCTGATGATAGATTCGGTTACGTTTCGGTTCATTGTGAAATATTATCGTTAATCGACGAAATATGTAGTAAATAACTATTAGGAATGGTTAATATACATTTAGAGTGCTTATTTATGCAATAATAATAATAAATTAAGATATAATTAATTAATAATAAGTGTTTTAAGTGTACAGTTGTTGAATTATCATATATATGGGGCGGTCCACGCCATTCCAACATAGCATCGACTTGGACATTTTTGATTTCGCTCAAATTTTTTTACCTTTTTTTACTCATTGAAAAAGAGCTTCCTGATTTTTTTCAAATTTTTTTATAAAGCCGTTTTCGAGATATAAATTTTTCAAAATTTTTGAAAAAAAATTTTTTTTTTGAAAGCTTTTAACTTTTTGATAAATGCGCCAATTTCAATTATTTTTTTTTCTAATTGTGTGTTTTTAAATGAACTTTTCAAAACTTTCATGCAAAAAATTAAAAAAAAATTATTAACTTTATTTTTTGTAATTTGGTTGCTCTTTTGTAATCTTCGATTGAGGAAAATTTGAAATCAACATTTTGGAAACT